GCAACGGCCACAAAAGAACCTCTTTCAACTCTTGGTTTGAGTGTTAGTCTAATGGCTGTGCCAATTTCTCACATTGTAGAGGCAACTTTGTCACCCTGTGTGGCAAACGGCACTCAGGGAGGTAACAAGTCACCGTCTCCAAGCCAGCGAGGGCACTTGCCTTGGCTTCCACTCTTCGAGGCCGAGATTCCCACAGCCTGCAGACCTTGACAGCCTCTAACTGAAGAGTGGGAGGGATTGAGAGTTGAGAAGAAGAAAGGTCAAACCCGAGGCTCTTGGTTCCCAGAGACAGGGGGAGAGAGGGCCCTGTCCAACGGGGCCAGAGGCAGGCGGCCCGTGTGTGGGGTTATGTTCTCCCGCCTCTGAGAAAGACCTGAGCACGTTAGTTCCTTCTTTCCTGCCAAGAATTCTTGAGGTGGTTAGATTTCTCAGTTATGAACTGAAAGTAAGATAAGTCCGATGTTATTCACTTGTTTATCTGCATTTTCCCCAGAACACTTTCTGGATCTGCATGAAAATAAACAATTTATGTAGGAGAAAAAAATCAAGGAGGTACATTCACTTACTTCGCTATCTTTGACCTTCTTTGCAGGAGAACCATCCAGAGATTGTCATTATGTTTAACTGTGGATTGGTACAATTTGTATGCTCATTAGGAAACCAGTGGTTTTCAACCATTTGGCAAGGACCTGGCGACCTTTCCGCTGGTCATGACTGGTTGGGGCAAAACAGGGAGTGCTACCGGCCTCTAGTGGATAGAGGCCAGAATGCCGCTAGACATCCTACAGTGCACACAGGGCAGCCTCACACAACAAAGAAGCATCTGGTTCAAATTATTCCTAGAGCTGAGATGGAAAAACTCTGACTTACAAATAATTCCATGTCCTTCTAAATGTTTTCACCTCTTCAGGAGATTCAGGCAGTGCTGTTTCTCCTCCTCTCAACACTCCACCGACCTGGAGAAATTACAAGCCGCTTGGTGGACAAGCTCAGTGTACCAAAGGCAAGCAAAACCCCAACTGTGAGGTGAAAACAAGCTTGCCCGTGGCTCATGGGCTCCCTTCAAAAGGTACGGTGTATGTTATGCGAAGATTGGTGAGCTGGCAGGCTGTATCATAACATAACAAGGGATTCTCAAAATTGCTTCCTACGTCTGGGTCTTGCTCGGAGGCACCCAGAGATGTCTAGCTCCCAGCTCCACAGTAATCTCATCTCCCCACTTTGGGTTTTTTTTTTGTTTGTTTGTTTTTGTTTTTTTTAATATATTTTTATTGATTTTGTACGGAGAGGAAGGGAGAGAGATAGAGTTAGAAACATCGATGAGAGAGAGTCATTGATCAGCTGCCTCTTGCACACCCCCTACTGGGGATATGCCCGCAACCAAGGTACATGCCCTTGACCGGAATCGAACCCGGGACCCTTCAGTCCCCAAGCTGATGCTCTATCCGTTGAGCCAAACCGGTTTCAGCTCATCTCCCCACTTTGAATCAAAGGTTGAACTCTGTGTAAGCAGGATAACCAGGATCCTCTGCAGTTGGTTTTCAAACCATCTCAATGATTTTGAGAAAACAGACTCCCTACAATCTGGCAGTAAATTGATCAGCCTGGGATATTTTGTGTATAGATTTCTTACTTTTCTGAAGAATAGACTGGGCAAGTTAACATTTTTCAAAGCTAAAATTATGGTGTTAGCAACAGCTTTGCAGCCAGCTTGTGCTTCAACCCTGAATATCAGAAGCAGAAAAGTCAGCCATGCCATAAAGGCCTGCTTAAGCATATAACAGTGCAGGATCGCTGCAGAACGGCTGGAAACTACTACAATATGGCCTTTGAAATGTCCTGAAAACAAAGCCCTCACCTCCAGGCATGCCCTCATTCCTGCTCCATTCAAGCTCAAAGAGAAGAGTGCTAGCATTTTAAAACATTTTAATGTAGAGTAACATTTTTTTCTTTAAAGGGCCATCCTCCTAAGAATACACTGTCCCTCAAGATTGGTCCTCAAAGGAGATCCTGGGAAGATGCAAGAGTAGAAGGCACCAGGAATCCGTCTTCCCTAGACAACAACTGCACTGGCAGAATCTGTCTGACATAACTATTTTAGAACTCTGGAGTCTCCCGAAGGCTTGGAACTTCCAGGTGTGGTATTCAAAATATTTAATGATCAGCATGACATGGGCACTGATCAAACAGACAGATACCCAACTAATCAGAACAGCCTTCAGCCCTGATGCCACCCCAGGGCAAACCAGCTGAATGTCCGGACGCTTTGATCATGGAACATGGTAAAAAACAAGCTGAACTCATGGCACAGAACTCTTTGAGTTTTAAACTACTTATTCTGATACTTGATATTATCCAAAATCACTTCTTATGATGCATTTTCTGTGCCTACAGGTATCCCAGATCTACTTCTATGCAAAACTTGGCTGGTTCTTTCTCTAGGTAAGAACATGCTAGTAAGATTCCCAATTTTTATAGAAGCCTAATGTTTGCCATTTATATATACCAAAGTATGGGGCATTAAATCAATAGTACAAAAGCAATACTCTGTTTTCCAGTGAATACAACATGGAAATCACATCTTGCCTTTCTTGTTAAAAGTCAGGTTTGTGGCATTTGATATTTGGGAAGTCAGACAAACAGGATACAATCACACCTTCCTCATTTTTTGCTATCAAATTAGATTATCAGAATGGAGCACATCTGCACATTAGCTTATGCCCTTAGACAGAAATGCCTAAACATTCCTATATAAAGTTATATTTGTGGATTTTATCAAGATTCAATATAAGAGACAGAAGTTTCCCAGCATAGACACAGCTGATCCTCACAGCCAACTGGCCTGGAGGTCAATTCCTCCCAGTGATACCAACAATAATCAAGGCTGTACACAGCCCACAAAGGGGTGCACCAAGAGTGTCCACCTCAGTAACTGGGGAGGCTGGGCCACTGTTCCCTATAGGACCCTTACCACACAAAGCTACTCCACCAACTCAGGGAAGCAGTGAAAATAGGGAGACAAAGAAACAGATCACAAGCAAAAGAAATGGAGGGGAAAAAATGACTGGATATAGAGTTCAAAACCACGATTATGCCAAAACCAGTTTGGCTTAGTGGATAGAGCGTCGGCCTGTGGACTGAAGGGTCCCAGGTTCAATTCCGGTCAAGGGCATGTACATTGGTTGCTGGCACATCCCCGATGGGGGATATGCAAGAGGCAGCTGGTCAATGTTTCTCTCTCATCGATGTTTCTAGCTTTCTATCCCTCTCCTTTCCTCTCTGTAAAAAAAATCAATAAAATAAATAAATAAAACAAAACCACGATTATAAGTTTTTTCAAGAATTTCCTAGAAAAGGCCGATAAATTTAACAAGATCCTCAAGGATATGAAAAAGGACCAACTAGAAATTAAACATACACTGACTGAAATAAAAAATATTATACAGAGACCCAATAGCAGCATAGGAACACAAGAATCAAATCAAAGATTTGAAATACAAAGAAACAAAAAACACTCAACTGGGAAAGCAAAAAGAAAAAAGAATCCAAAAATTTGAAGATAGTGTAAAAAGCCTCTGGGACAACTTTAAGCATGCCAACATCAGAATTATGGGGATATCAGAAGAAGAGAGAGAGCAAGATACTGAAAACCTACTTGAAGAAATAATGACTGAAAACTTCCCCCACCTGGTGGAAGAAATAGACTTACAAGTCCAGGAAATGCACAGAACCCCAAACAAAAGGAATGCAAAGAGGACCACACCAAGACACATCATACTTAAAATGCCAAGAGCAAAAGACAAAAAGAGCCCTAACTGGTTTGGCTCAGTGGGTAGAGCATTGACCTGCAGACTGAAGGGTATTAGGTTCAATTCCAGTCAAGGGCATGTACCTTGGTTGTCGGCACATTCCCAGTATGGGGTGTGCAGGAGGCAGCTGATCTATGTTTCTCTCTAATCGATGTTTCTAATTCTCTATCCCTCTCCCTTCCTCTCTGTAAAAAATAAATAAAATATATTAAAAAAAAAAAAAAAAAAAGACAGAGAGAGAATATTAAAAGCAGCAAGAGAAAAACACTTACATTACCTACAAGGGAGCACCCATACAATTGTCAGCTGACTTCTCAACAGAAACTATGCAGGCCAGACAGGAATGGCAAGAAATACTCAAAGTGATGAATAAATAGCAAGAACCTATAATCAAGATTACTCTACCCAGCAAAGCTATCATTCAGAATTGAAGGTCAAATAAAGAGCTTCACAGATAAGAAAAAGCTAAAGGAATTCATCACCACCAAACCAGTATTATAAGAAATGCTGAAAGGTATTCTTTAAGAAGAGGAAGAAGAAGAAAAAGATAAAAATTATAAACAAAAAATACATATCTATTAACAAGTGAATCTAAAAATAAAGTGAATTAAAAAATCTGACATATAGAATAAACTGGTGAATATAATAGAATCAGGGGCATAGAAAGGGAGTGGACTGACAATTCTCAGGGGGAAAGGGGTGTGGGGGGGTGCGGAAAGAGACTCGACAAAAAGGGTACACCTATGGATGAGGACAGTGGGGAGAAGGTAAGGGCAGAGGGTGGGGTGGGAACCAGGTGAAGGGGAGCTATGGGGGGGAGGGGGGAAAGGAGAACAATTGTAATAATCTGAACAATAAAGACTTATTAAATTGTTTAAAAAGATTAGCCCTAACTGGTGGCTCAGTGGATAGAGTATCAGCCTGCAGACTGAAGGGTCCCAGGTTTGATTCCAGGTCAAGGGCATGTACCTTAGTTTCAGGCACATCCCCAGTAGGGGGCGTGCAGGAGGCAGCTCATCGATGTTTCTCTCTAATCAATGTTTCTAACTCTCTATCCCTCTCCCTTTCTCTCTGTAAAGAAATCAATAAATATATTTTTAAAAAAGATTCAATATAAGAAGTAACCATATGGACAAAAAAGAAGCAACAATGTGAATGTTTCAAAAATCAAATCATAACAAAAGAAACATGATTTCTGAGATCTTCATATTCCAGATTTATTTATGTTAGTTATTTCAAAATCAGTTTGCCCAACCAACATACACAAAATGTTGGAGAAGCTCCCTCAGCTGGTTAAACTACAGAACTACCAAAAAACATGTTCCATTAAATTGACTGTATCATCCTCTTCAGAAATTTCTGTAACTCCAGCCTGAGATCGAAGAGTGGAAATGATTTCATCACATAATCTGTCAAAGCCATTCTGTGAGCATATACTTGCCATTTCTTGCCAATTTTCTAGAGAGCAAAATGGATCATTTATGATAAGATTTTCTATTGCATCTAGGGGGGAAAAATATAATAATAAGTATGGCACTTGTTCTCACTTGATAATCCACATTTTGCAACTGTTCAAAAATAGAAAGGGATATTATTTAACTCAGTTACTATGATTCCTGTGCCTGGGTCCTATAAGTTTAATGTGGAGTCTTTAGTCCTGCTCACTGTAATACCTTCTTCTCTTTTTCCATTAATCTTTTCAGGCCTCAATTCAACCCTCTAGCATTTCTCACATTCCCCACTCCTCCACTCACCCCCTTCTTGGTAAAGTAGCAGGTACTGAAGGCTACAAGAAAGGGAGCTCAGAGAGTGAAGAATGTGGGCTCAGCATTGTGCAGAGTCTATAAGGTACCACAAGAAACTATCAAATAACTGGAAGTTACGGGTCTACTTTACATGACCCTTCAAACACTTTTACAAATTCCCCTAGTAGTGCTCACCCAAGGCTGAAGAAACCCTTTGGCAAACCCCCCATCCTATTTCTAGATAGGGACTTCTCAGTGATGGGGCCTCTATAACCAACATTTTTCTACAGAAAATAATATTATTTCCTTTTAAAAATGCCCTATAAAATGAACCAGCCCTTCCAAAACCGGTTTGGCTTGGTGGATAGAGCATCAGCCTGTGGACTGAAGGGTCCTGGGTTTGATTCCGGTCAAGGGCATGTATCTTGGTTGCAGGCACATCCCCAGTAGGAAGTGTGCAGGAGGCAGCTGATCGATGTTTCTCTCTCATCAATGTTTCTGACTGTATCTCTCTCCCTTCCTCTCTGTAAAAAATCAATAAAATATATATTTTTAAAAATTACTAAATATACACATATACTAATATAAAGTTTTTATAGGGTTAGTGATTATATTATAATTATTACTAGAGGCTCGGTGCACGGATTTGTGCACTAGTAGGGTCCCTTGGCCTGGCTTGTGCACTCTCAAAATCCGGGACCCCTGGGGGGATATTGGAGGGCCAGTTTTGGCTTGATCCCCATAGGCCAGGCCGAGGGACCCCACTGGTGCACGAATCTGTGCACTGGGCCTCCAGTATACATATAAGATCTTTGGTTAATCCCCTCCCACCCTCCCCCGTCCCCCTTCCCTTTGAGATTCATCAGTCTGTTCCATGTTTCGATCCTTGTGGTTTCCGCTCCCGCATTATCTGCCCCCTGGTCGGCGGGTCAGCTAGGCTTTTACATATATAGGTGGTGTTCCCCTGAAGCTTCATAAAGATTCCCTCTTCATTCTGATTTCTTCAAAATATACACACTGCTGCTAACAGACTCTCATTGACATGGTGATCTCCACATTTATAAACTAAAGTTAACTGTTGTCAAGAAGGAACTATTAGAAGATTAAATGACTCAAAAATAATAATCTTGAACCTTTCCCTAAATAAGCCACTACTATTTCTTCTATAACATTTTACTCTACTTACCTTTCCCACTTCTATTTAGTTCATGAAGTAGTTTAATGCCAACTTTTTTCATATCAACAGAGAACAGATAAAGTATAGTGAGACCAAAAGATAAAAGTGGTGGTTTTCCTTTCCATTCTTTAGTGAGACACTGAATTAATCCATAGTGGGGACATAACTTTATTAGCTGCATCAGGTCATCTGAAAGCAAAAATTAAAGACAAAACATTTATTACTTATTTATTTATTTATAATTCTCATCCGAAGATTCCACTGATTTTTACAGAGTGGAAGAAAGAGGGAAAGACAGAGAGAAATATCAATGTGATAAGAGACACACTGATTGGTTGCCTTCTGCATGCACCCTGACCAGGGCCAGCTAGGGAGGGGCCTGCAACCAAGGAACATGTCCTTGACGAGAATTGAATCCGGGGACCCTTGGGTCCACAGGCTGACGATACTCTATCCACTGAGCCAGAAACCAACTAGGGCTATTTGACTATATCTTGATGCTCATATTTGGAGCAACTTCTAGTGAATATAATGCCTTTCTTTCCGTGCCTGCACAGAAAAGAGGCTTCATTTTCCCCCCCTAAAAACATAAAGTATTCAGAAACTTAAAAAATGAAGATTTCAAGAAGCCATTAGCTAGTTTAAGTAGCTGGAGGTTAAGCCAGATGAAGTTGTGTACACTTGACCATTTTTTACTCCAAAAAAGGCAATTTCATATGGTTTAATCTATTGGTTAACTGCCAAGGTAATCAAGGTAATCTAAAGCTGCAATCATGGAATAGGAGAAACCAAGATGGCGGCATAGGATAGACACCCGAATGCAGCCTACCACAACAAATTTGAATTTAGAACTGGAAAACAGGGGAGGCCCTGCCCTGAAGCACCGGATAGCTAGCTGAGAGGAGGCTCTGCCATCTGGGAAGGAGAGAAGGCACGCTGAACCTCAGGAACTGTGAAGGTACGGAGAACTATGCATGCGAAAAGGTGCTGGCTTACTGCTGGCATGTGAAGAGGGCGGACAGCTAACATGCGGCTGGCTTTCTTGTTCGAGAGGAAAACAGAATCACCCTATTGTTCTGATAGACGGCCCCAGTCAGGGAGAGGCCAGACTGTCAGGCAGTGGGCAGGGATCTCTCGGAGGTGTGTGAAGCCAGAGGCAATTACTGGGGGACTTGGGGAGGAGCCGAAGGGAAAACAAAGCTTGTCTGCACCAACCCGAGACTCTGCCCCATCCAAGCTGAGCACAGAAGCTCTCCCAGAGGCTGGCTTTCTCTAAGGAGGGACTGGCCAGAATCCAAAGCTTGTCTGTGCCTTTACCAAAGAGGTGAGCGCACCCGCAACCAATCTTCCAAAACTCACCACGAACAGGACTTTTCTAAGGTGAGACTGACAGGGAACCAAAGATGGTCTGCGCCACCCCAAGACCCCGCCCCATCCAAGCGGAGTACAGAAGCCCTCCTAGCTGAGACACTGCTGATCCTCACAGCCAATTGGCTTGGAGATCAATGCTTCCCAGTGATACCAACAATAAGCAAGGCTTAACAATAAGACTGCACACACAGCCCACAAAGGGCTACACCAAGACTGTCCACCGCAGGTAACTGGGAAGGCTGTGCTACTGGGCTCTACCAGAACACCTAGCACACAAAACTATTCCATCAAATCAGGGAAACAACTAAAATGCAGACAAGAGGCAGGACACAAAGGAAGGAGATGGAGGAAAAGAAAAGATTGGACATTGAGTTCAAAACTACAGTTATAAGGTTATTCAAGAATATCCTAAAAAATGCCGATAAAATAAATGAGACCTATGAGGATATGAAAAGGGAGCAACTAGAAATAATAAGGGATCAACTAGAAATAAAGAAAGCATTGTCTGAAATAAAAAATATTACACAGAGTCCTAAAAACAGACTGGAAGATCGCAAGAATCAAGACAAAGATTTAGAACACAAAGAGCCAGAGGATACTCCTCCACAGAAGCAAGAAGATAAGAGAATCCAGAAAGTTGAAGGCAGTGTAAGAAACCTCTGGGACAATTTCAATCGAACCAACATCAGAATTATGGGGATCCCAGAAGAGAGAGAGCAAGAAACCGAAAGAATACTGGAAGAAATAGTGACAGAAAACTTCCCCAACCTGGGGAAAGAAATAGACTTACAAGTCCAGGAAGCGCACAGAACCCCAAACAAAAGGAATCCAAGGAGGACCATACCAAGACACATCATAATTAAAATTCCAAGAGCAAAAGACAAAGAGAGAATATTAAAAGCAGCAAGAGAAAAGCAGGTAGTTACCTATAAAGGAGTACCCATACGATTGTCAGCTGATTTCTCAACAGAAACCATGCAGGCCAGATAGGAATGGCAAGAAATATTCAAGGTGATGAATAGCAAGAACCCACTGCCAAAAATACTCTACCCAGCAAAGCTATCACTCAGAATCAAAGGCCAGATAAAGAGCTTCACAAATAAAAAAAAGCTAAAAGAGTTCATCATCGCCAAACCAGAATTATTTGAATTGCTGAAGGGGGTTATTTAGAAAGAGGAAGAAGATAAAGATAAAAATTATGAACAATAGATGCATAACTATCAACAAGTGAATCTAAAAAACCAAGGGAATTAAAAAATCTGATGAACAATATTAACTGGTGAATATAATATAATTAGAGGTATGGAAGGGGAGTGGACTGAGGATTCTCGGGGAAAAGGGGAGTGGGAGTGCGGGAAGAGACTGAACAAAAACTGTGCAGCTAGGGATGAGGACAATGGGGGATGGGGAAAGGACAGAGGGTGGAGTGGGAACCTGATGGAGGGGAGCAATTGGGGTGGGGAGAGGAACACATCTGGAATAATCTAAACAATAAAGATTTATTTTAAAAAAATAAAATTTTCATACAAAAAATATTTAAAAAATAAAGCTACAATCATGATTTATGTTCTTAAAATATATATTAATATGTATTAAATCGCTGCATTTAATTTGTAGTATAAGTGAGATATTGTTATTCTCACATTACAAGTGAGGAAGCAGGCTTAAAGAAGTTAATTTTACTAGGTTATACATATGGTATAAAGTAGAACAATTCATCTGATCCCCAGAGTCTATGACCTTCCAATCCAAAGTGCTGGTCCTCCAAAACAGTAACTACGTGTGTGTGCACTGCATGCATGCAGATATACACATACATACACACAAACACAGAGAAGTTGTAAAAGAGGAAACAAAGAAAAACAATATAATTCTATGTCAGAGCAGTTAGATAATTTTTAGAAATTCCCTAGGGATAAAGGATAAATTTATGACTTAGGTCATTCAAACTATCCTCTAGTAAGGTGAAGCTATTTCTTTTTTTTTTCTTCTTTTTTTTTTTTTTTCTTGCTCAAACTCTATTTAGTGTTCCCCCAGCCCAAACAGAAATCAACATAAACAATACAGTGTAAAATTTTTATATTTAGAATTAGGCAGCTGGACTCAGTTTAGATGATTCCAATTTTGTTGGCAACATCCAAAGCATCATAGTCAGGAGCCAGTCGAACATATGCCTTCTTCTCGCCATCAGGCCTGATCAGGGTGTTGACCTTGGCCACATCAATGTCATAGAGCTTCTTCACAGCCTGTTTGATCTGGTGCTTGTTGGCTTTGACATCCACAATGAACACAAGTGTATTATTGTCTTCTATCTTCTTCATGGCTGACTCGGTAGTCAGGGGGAACTTGATGATGGTAGTAGGGGGAACTTGATGATTTTAAATTTTTAATTAAATTTTAATTTATTTAAATGAATAAATTAAAATTTAATAATTTCTCTTAGGATAAATATCAATAGATATTTATAACTAAAAGCTCTTTGCGATCATCAGTGCTTTTTAAAAGTGCAGAGGAGGCCTGAGCCCAGAAAGCTTGAGAGCCTCACCTCACATCTAGAATAAGCTAGTTTCCAGAAAAGTGCATTTATTTAATGATAATGAAGAAAGTGAACACGCAAATCATTGTAGGCTTTATTCTAGGAATTATTAGGAAAGAAAAAAATGATTCTTTACTTCTAAAACAGATACTCTATTAGCTTTATGTTTTGGAGACAAAAGACTTTTCTGGTTTTATTTTTACTGTGTTTTTTTAATTTGTAAATGTAAAGCTGATAATCTAAATCTGAGCGAGAACATTTTTCTATGAAACCAGAAAGTATTAGCAAACTATGACTGTTCCCCAAGGCCTTGAAAAGATGATACCTTTGAAAGCTATAGTTGTCTCTCATTAAAAAGTAAAATGAACAAGTAATTTTCAAACAATGTTTCTATCTTTTAAGTTTAATTTTTCTCAGGTTATTATTTTCATCTTATGATGTTATACTAAATAAATTCTGCAGATAAATATCAAGGTTCTAATTATTTAGGAGTGTTATTACTTAATTATTATATTTAATTATTTTAGAGTGTAATATACTTCTAGAGGAACAGAATAATCATGTTCAAAGAGTAATTAAAACCTATATTCCATGCCTGAATCATGACTAAAATAATTCTTACCGATGGCAAAATAATAATACAAAACCTAAATCTGTATACTTAGATAAGAATAAAATATATCATTGGAAAGTGTATATAAAATGAATATTGAGTAGTTGCTACTATGCCAGGTTCTGTTCTATTATTATGAGGATATAGGCAAATTACTTACCTTTCTGTCCTTAGCCTCTCTGGACACACAGGTGTGTGTTTCCATCTATAAAATTGGGATCATACTAAAACCTACCTCATAGAGCTAACATAAGGATTAGATAATTCGCATAAAAAGCTGAACTATTATCTATTTTACAGTAATAATATCAGGCATGCTGTTATGTATTGTAGTAAATGAAGAAATTAGTAACTTTATAAAAGAGATTCTAAGTAAAAGTCCATTTATTGTTTAAAAATTATCAGATTCAACATCCTTTTCCCAGGAAAATGTGACCTAAAAGTGCTACATTTTATTTCGTTTTGCAATGGGGTACAAAGCCTGCACACTGGGACTGCCTGGGCTGTGGGGAGCTCTCAGGACTGCCAGTGCATTACATCACTGCTGAGCCAGATTCATTCTAACAGCTCAGATCGTTTGACCAGGGTCACCCTAAAAGGTCCACGATTCTCTCAGATCACTGCCCAGATGCAACCTCTCAGATCACTGCCCAGATGCAACCTAGATATTTCAAATTTTGAAATGAATTTTATTTCACCAATTCTTCATTTCTAATGCTTATATAATAATTGAGAACATTATCTATAATAAATAAGTTCAGTTTTTTAATCCTTTAAGTAGTATGGTATAATATATCTGTAAAAATGTATCTTTAAAACTGTATATTTCAGGACCATCCAGTTTATTAAATGTTTAAGTATAGAGAAAACATGTAATATCTTTGAAGGTCAAACATGAAAGTCAAGCAGCTTAAGCTTAACTGCTTTACTGAAAATTACAAAAGAAATCTAGTACTTATCACTATATACAAGATGGACTTTATTTTTTTATTTTTTAAATATATTTTATTGATTTCAGAGAGGAAGGAAAAGAAAGAGAGAGCTAGAAACATCAATGATGAGAGGAAATCATTGATTGGCTGCCTTCTGCATGCCCCCACTGGGGTTGGGAGCCTGCAACCTGGGCATGTGCCCTGAACGGAATCGAACCTGGGACCCTTGAGTCCGCAAGCCAATGCTCTATCCACTTAGCCAAACCGGCCAGGGCAAAATGGATTTTATAATGTGAAGCCAAAATATTGCTTACTAACACGGGTGATCTTACAATTAAAGTCCAGAATTCAAATATATATAAATAAGTAGGCTTTATTACTTACCATAAGTATAGTCCTTGAGTTGTTGTATGTATTCCATAGCCGCAGGAAGCTGATCCTGTTTACACAGGCAGAGAATAATTTTGTTGAACAGCTTACATTCACTGTAGATGATCATAGCTAAAGCCAGACACTTGGCCTTGTTATAATTATCCTGATCTCCATAATCACAAATCATATCCCCAGCCTCCTCGGAAAATGTGAGCCTAGAGCAAGGAGATCAATAAGGCACACATTACTAAGTTCTTAATGAGAGGATAAAAATGAAGTCTTGGGTCCTAGCTGTTTTGGCTCAGTGGATAGAGTGTCAGCCTGCGGACTGAAGGGTCCTAGGCTCAATTCTGGCCAAGGGCCCATGCTTGGGTTGCGAGCTCAATCTCCAGTGAAGGGCATGCAGGAGGCAGCTGATCAATGATTCTCTCCCATCATTGATTTTTCTATCTCTCTATTCCTCTCCCTTCCTTTCTAAAATCAATAAAAATATATATATTTTAAAAATGAAGTATTGGAAAACTCATCACAGCAGAACTGGAATTTCTATGGTCTGTAAGAATTCCAAGTTAGTAGGCAATTAAATGTTGGAGAAATTTTATACTGTGGGGCAGGGTGGAGCTATCCTCCATTTTGTGTAACTGGACCCTAGCCCTCACCCAACCAATCAAGGTCAGCCAAAGCAGTGACATCATCACCCTTATAAAACCCCTTGACTTGTTAAAGTTTGCTTTCTCGTCCATCATGCTGCCTGCATGAGTGGGACAGAGCCCATGCTAGTTTGGAATTCAGGCTTTCTGCAATTGCATCAGATTCAGCTCCCTGGTGGTCCTTGGGGATCATGAAATCTGGGCACAACACCAGAAAGCAGAATTTCAATGTATTTGGATAATGCTCCAAAGGAAAAAATAAATAAATAAATAAATAAATAAATTAATAAATGTCGGAGAAATTAAATACATCTAAAATTTAACAGCAAGAAGAACAAAAACAATTAACATATATTCCTTTGGAGAAAGACATTTTGGCAAAACTGAACTCAAGTTATTTTTTTTAAATATATTTTATTGATCTTTTACAGAGAGGAAGGGAGAGAGATAGAGAATTAGAAACATCGATGAACGAGAATCATCAATCAGCTGCCTCCTGCACACCCCCCACTGGGGATGTTCCCACAACCAAGGTACATGCCCTTGACCGGAATCGAACCTGGGACCCTTAAGTCCGCAGGCCGACGCTCTATCCACTGAGCCAAACCCATTTTGGCTGAACTCAAGTTATTAAAAAACAGATATACAATGTTAAAACTCTCCTAAAAAGGCTGGATGAATTTCAAAATATAAGGTCAATAAAAATTCTGTCCACCCTCCTCCGTCTTTCCTCTGAGATCTCACACTCTGTCCCATGCTTCCATGTCTCTTGATCCTCTCTGTTCATCAGTTTATTTTGTTAATTAGATTCCATACAAGAGTATGATCATGTCTTTCTCTGACTATTTCATTTAGCATGATAGTCTCCTGGTCCCTCGATGTTGTCTCAAAGAAAACTTAAATTTTTGAGAATGAACCTCTTTATTAACCAAATATCAAAATTAAGTTCAATTTTGCTTACTTTTCTTGAGTGACCCAGTGGATAACTAAATCTAAACGTTTTTCCGAAAGTCCACATTTGATTCCTTCCAGGGTTAGTTCTGCATCAATAGGATGTCTATTAGCATGACTTGTGGTAAAGATAGCCTCAAAAAATGAGAGTAATGGAAAAGGCTTTCCTTTAATTTTTCCAGCAGCTACAGAGAAAAATAGAGTTTTTAAGTCAAATACTTTAATAGTTTTCTTTGTCTTATTTATATTATTTTCATCTCTTTGCATTTTTTAACAAAAAATTTGAATCTAAAATTACATATTTGTAATTTTTGTTTGTTTTTGTTGTTAATCCTCATCCAAGGACATTTTTCCATTGATTTTCAGAGAGAGTGAAAGGGAGGGGGAGAGATAGAGAGAGAAACATCAATGTGAGAGGGACACCATCGATTGCCTGCCTCCCCCATGCACCCTGACCAGGGCCAGGGATTGAACCTGCAACTGAGGTATGTGCCATTGACGGGGATTAAACCCAGAACCCTTCAGTCTGCAGGCCAACACTATACACTGAGCCTAACTGGATAGGGCCATATTTGTAATTTTTAATGCTTATGGATAAAACATCCTATTTTGGATAATGACTAAACATTACATGCTATATAAAAACCAAAGAAGATTGGAGTGATTATAAGCCAAGGAATACCAAACATTGTTGTCAGCCACCTAGAAACTAGGGGAGAAGCATGAAATGTAATCTCTCAGAGCCTCCAAAAGGAACTTTAAAAAGCTAAAGGAGTATCATTTAGGAAATGATAAAGATAGTCTTTCAGGCAGAAAGAAAATGATATCAGGTAGGAATACAAATCTACAAAAGGAATGAAGACCAAAAATGTTATATGCTCTGAATATAAGAATTTAGAAATATATTATTTTTATATAATATACCAAGGGGTATAATGTCACCTGACAATAGCATGTGATAAATATCTTACCTAATGAAATAGTATGCAAATTAACCATCGCTCCCGCTCCACAAGCCACGCCCACCAGCCAATCAGAGCAAGTATGCAAATAAACCCAACCAAGATGGCTACAATCACTGAGAGCAGGAGGGAGGCGTTTCCCCAGCAACAGAGGAAGCCAAGCTTTTCACCTGCCCTTGCCAGACTAAGCCTCCACTCAAGGCTACAAAGTTTCAATTATAGAAGGTAAACAAATCCAAACAGAAACGGCTGCCTCCACTGAGCAAGCAGGAGACTTATTTCCTCTCAAGACTACAAAGTTTCAATTGTAGAAAGTAAATATATCCCAGATACCAGAGCCTCCACTTAGGTCACTGGGGGGCGTGGCTGGCCTGCAAACCACCACAGGCCCCTTGCTCAGGCTGCCCATGCCCCAAGGAAACCCCCACCCTGATCCAGGACACCCTTCAGGGCAAACCAGCTGGCCCCCACCCGTGCACCAGGCCTCTATCCTATCTAATAAAAAAGCAATATGCAGGTTGACCATTACTCCAACACACAATATGGCTGCCCCCATATGATCAAAGATCCTGCTCCTATGTGGACACAAGATGGCCACCACAAGATGACCAGCAGGGGGGAAAAGTTAGGAGGGACCAGGCCTACAAGGGAGGGCAGTTGAAGGTGATCAACCCTGCAAGGGAGGGCAGTTAGAGGTGACCAGATCGACAGAGGAGGGAAATTGGGGGCAAATAGCCTGGCAAGGGAGCAGTTAGACATCAATCAGGCTGGCATGGGAGTGGTTAGGGGGGCGATCAGGCTGGCAGGCAGAAGTCGTTAGGGGCAATCAGGAAGGCAGGCAGGCGAGCAGTTGGAACCCAGCAGTCCTGGATTGTGAGAGGGATGTCCGACTGCAGTGGGATCGGGCCTAAACAGGCAGTTGGACATCCCTTGAGGGGTCCCAGATTGGAGAGGGTGCAGGCTGGGCTGAGGGACAACCCCTGGCCCTGCCCCCATGCACAAATTTTGTGCACCAGGCCTCTAGTTTAATCAATAAACCCTAAAGCAACAACCAAAATAAATCAATAAAAAATTTGTAGCTTGTAAATCAACAAAGGAGAAAAATGAAATCATTAAAAAATTGAAGTAATCCAAAAGAAGGCAAAAAAGGGAGAGAAGGTAACAAAGAGTTGAGGAAAGCAGCAAACAAAACTGAACCACGTCAATAATCATATTAAATATAAATGATCTAAACACTGCATTTGAAAGACAAAGATTGTCAGATTGTATAAAAAAGTAGGGTCCAAGTATATGTTATCTAGAAGGCATTGACTTTAAACAGAGACACAAATAAATTCAAAGTATGAAAAATATATACACACTAATATTTATCAAAAGAAAGATGAATTGCTACTTCTAATCTCAACATTTACTAGAAAACTATAGTAATTAAGATAGTATGATACTATCTTAGGATGAGTATCTAGAGCAATGGTCAGCAAACTTTGGCTCTGTTGACTAATGAGTTTGCCTACCACTGATCTAGAGCATTAGGATAAATTATGAATTCAGAAATAAACCCTGGCCAATTGATTTTTGACAAAGGGGCCAAAAAAAGTCAATGGATAAAGGAAAATCTTTTTCTTAACAAATGGTCCTGGAGCCGAAACCGGTTTTGCTCAGTGGTACAGCATCGGTCTGTGGACTGAAGGGTCCCAGGTTCGATTCCGGTTAAGGGCATGTACATTGGTTGCGGGAAAATCCCCGGTAGGAGGTGTGAAGGAGGCAGCTGGTCGATGTTTCTCTCTCAACAACGTTTCTAGCTCTCTCTCTCTCTCTCCCTTTCTCTGTAAAATATCAATAAAATATATAAAAACAAAACAAAAAAAAATAAAACAAAAAAAATAAATGGTCCTGGGAAAACTAGATATCCACATGGAAAGAAATGCATTTGGACCCCTACCTCCCATTATAAACAAAAATGAACTTATAGTAGCCAAAACTGGTTTGGCTCAGTGGATAGAGTGTCGGTCTGAGGACTGAAGGGTCCCAAATCAAGACTGAAGGGTCTTGATTCCAGTCAAGAGCATGTACATTAGTTGTGGGCACATCCCCAGTGGGGAGTGTACAGGAGGCAGCTGGTCGATGTTTCTCTCTCATCGATGTTTCTAGCTCTCTATCCCTCTCCATTCCTCTCTGTAAAAAATCAAATATATATATATATATTTTTTTAAATGAACTTATAGTAGATGACAGACCTAAATACATAAACTTAAGTTAGGCAAGGAGTTCGTAGATACAACAGCAAAAGCACAGAAATAGAAGAAAAAATTCATAAACTGAATTTCATCAGAATTAAAAATTTTTGTTCTTAAAAAAATACCATCAAGAAAGTAAAAGAAGCTGACACAGTTTGGCTCAGTGGTAGAGTGTCGGTCTGTGGACTGAAAGGTCCCAGGTTCGATTCCGGTCAGGGGCACGTACGTTGGTTGTGGGCATATCCCCAGTAGAGGGTGTGCAAGAGGCAGCTGGTCGATGTTTCTCTCTCATTGATGTTTCTAGCTCTCTATCTCTCTCCCTTCCTCTCTGTAAAAAATCAATAAAATATATTCAAAAAAAAAAAAAAAAAAAAAAAAAAAGAAAGAAAGAAAGAAAGAAAGAAAGAAAGAAAGAAAGAAAGAAGTTAAAAGAATAATCCACAGACTGGAAGAAAATATTTTTATGTCATCCTATATAATAAAAGGGTAATATGCAAATAGACTGAATGGCAGAACAACTGAACAACCAATCAAAGTGTAATATGCTAATGATATGCTAAGGATGCTCAACTGCTCGCTACAACATACACTGATGACCAGGGGGCAGACAGTCAACTGGTCAACCAGTCACTATGATGTGCACTGACCACCAGGGGTGTCCCTCAGTCTGGCCTGTGCCCTCTCACAAACCGGGACCCCTCGGGGGATGTCAGAGAGCCAGTTTCAGGCCAATCCTGCAGACCACTCCCCTTGGAAGGGCATCAGATGCAGGGCTCATGGCTGGCGAGAGCTGCTTTGGCAGCGCGAGCCTCTCCTGATCGGGATTGATTGGGTGGGAGCCTGCGGCAGGCACAGTGGGGCCCGGATGAATGGGAGTGGCAGGTAGGAACTGCAGGTGGCGTTGGACTGTGGGTTTCAGCCCAATCCCTTCAGGCCACCCAGAGGGACCCCACCTGTGCACGAATTCATGCACCAGGCCTCTAGTCTTATCTAATAACAGACAAACATGTAAATTGACAATACCTTCGCTACACCTATAGCCAATTAGAGTGACTATGCAAATTAACCCCCAAACCATAGTGGTTAATTTACATACATAGACACCCAGGGCCTGTGTCCCAGAACATCCTGGCACCCAGGTCACTGTTAGGTAAGGCCCTGGGCAGGAGTGGACCCCCTGCAATTGATCGCAGGGAGCTGCGGGTCACTTCAGCCTGGTGCAGGAGTGGACTCCCTGTGACTGATCGCCTGGGCAGGGAGCTGGGGGTCTGCTTTTGGCCTGGGCAGGAGCGGACCCCCTGTGATCGATTGCAGGGAGCTGGGGGTCTGCTCCTGCCCAAGAGGCTTTCGGCCTGGGCAGGCCTGGGCAGGGGCTGAGCCAGTGATCATGAGGGAGCTGAAGGGGCCCTGCTCAGGCCTAAAGCTTCGACCAGAGGCTTTAGGCCTGGGCAGGCCTAGCCCTCGATTGGTGTGAACTATAGAGGAAACACCTTTTCTGATTGCGCATTGGCTAAGCTTCCTGTATGCCACTGGTAATATTCTTAGTAACTTGGGTAATAAGGATCCAAAAAGGTGACCTAGGATTTTTCCACCACACTTCTGGAGAAAAAATGAAGATCCGCTGCTGGAGGGCTAAGAAATGTCATATCCTGCCATAGCCGGTTTGACTCAGTGGATAATGCCTCAGCCTGCAGACAGCAGGGTCTGGATTCGATTCTAGGTTGCAGGGTCCTCCCTGGCCGGGGCCCAGATAAGTGCCCATGCAGGAGGCAACCAATCAAAGTGTTCCTCTCACTTTGATAGTTCTCTCTGGCTTTCCCTTTCTCTTCCACACTCTCTAAAAGTCAGTGGAAACATATCCTCAGGTGAGGAAAGAAAGAGGAAAGAAAGAGGAAAGGGAAAAAAAAGGAAAAGGAAAAAAAAGGAAAAGGAAAAGGAAAAGGGAAAGGGAAAGGAAAGGAAAGAAAAAAAAAGAAATGCATATCCTATGAAAGTCACATCTTGAAAATGCCTAACGAAAGTTGTGATTTTTTTCTTGGTGAAGGGACTGGAGTCCCTTCACGAAAACACCTCAGTGGCTGCGGTGACTGGCAGTGGCTGCAGCAGTGGGTGATGGGGCTGGTGCCTTCCCCTGATCGGCCAGGTTGCCTCCCACAAAGGGAGGCCAGACTGCAACTTAGGCCCGTTCCCCGGGATGCGCGGGCCATCAGTAAGACATCCTCTGAGGGGTCCCAGTATGTGAGAGGGGGCAGGTTAGGCTCAGGGACCTCCCCACCCCCAGTGCATGAATTTCGTGATAAGGAAATATATGATAAGGGAATATAGAAAGAAGTCTTGCAACTCATTAATAAAAACACAAATACTAAAATAAATAAATAAATAAATAAATAAATAAATAAATAAATAAATAAATATAAACACAAATACTGCACACTCTCCCTCCGGGAGTACACCTGAGCCTTTCTCCTCCCCCTCCCTCTCTTCTTCTCCATCTTTCTCCCTTGTACTGTTACAGCTCAGGAAACTGAGTAAAAGGTAGAGATAAGATTTGGAGCCTAGATCTTTCGTCTCCCAGTTCAATACTCTTTCCATTCTATCATGGGGTAAAGTATAACTGCATATATATACAGTAGAAGGTTCAGAGAGAAATGCTTACCTTTAAATTTATTCACTGTCCCCATGTTTAGAAGAATTCCTCTAGGACTTTTTGCTGCAAAACAAGCGGCCTTCTCATATTCACCAAGTGAGATTAATTGATTGAACCTACAGACATTACATTTCATTATACATTATAAATAGTAAACAAAAAAGAAAACTGATCAGAAATCTCTAATATATACTAAACACAGTGGCATAGTAATATAGAAAAGCAATTCTAATAAATGATAATGAGATTTATTTACTCTGTAAGAGGTTATTTCACTTCTTTCCCTGATATTCTACCATTTTTGTAGCCTCAGAAAAAAACTCTCATCTGCCAGCTGACTGTGAACCTCATCCTGTACTTTATTCCTATAGTACTCTATAGCAAGCCATAGCAAATGAACAGAACTTGAGGTGAAGTTACAATGAGCTCAGATTTTTTCTCTCTCATATCATCTCCAGATAAAAGGGGGTGTCAGGGAAAAGAAGGATAATCTCCTTAAGAGGTCCGTCTAGGGGAAATATTAGATGAACACAAAGGCTGCCAAGTTGAAGATCAAGAAGTAACCTTGGTATTCAGAATTTATGTTGCACAGCAGACTCCCAATTAAATATGAGGTTAACACAAGGAGTAAAGATAATAGTTCAAATAACTTAAGCCTCTACTCCTCTTCCTAGGGCAAAATATCTTCAAATCAGCCCTCACCTCACAATTAATAAAACTATGGCAAACACCAATTTATACAGTGTTGCAAATGAATGTGGAATCCCAGAGTAGAGAAATATCAAAGTAATATTAAGTAAAATAAATAAAATGTTTACCCTCAATAAGGGTTTTTCTCTCCAATCTAGAGCTGGCAGACTTAGAGAAGTACACAGTAAGGAAATAATGGGCTTTGGTGCCCCTCCCTCCCCAAAGATAATCTTCGCTCCTTATTTGTATCAACATGCAAATCATGTAAGATTAGGAACATTAAATATGTTCATTACATATGGACTTTATAGCCTATGAAATAACCTCTTAAATAGGGGTGTCGAACTCAATCAGAGAAGGGGCCAAAATCTAAAATCCAGCCTAAATCTCGGGCCGAATGGTTTACTGAACAGTCATAAACTGTCATTGTGATGGAAACGCAGCGGAGTGCAGTGATGACAGCGCGGTGCGGGCCACATTGCAAGGCCTGGCGGGACGGATTTGGCCCGCGGGCCTTGTGTTTGACACATGTGTCTTAAAGAATAAATTCTTAAATTTCTTTAAGCCTCTATTTTACACTATAAATAATAACTTAAGTACTGGGCAAAAATATGCTAGCCGGTGTGGCTCAGTGGTTGAGCACTGACCCAGGAACCAAGATGTTAACAGATTGATTCCCTATCCAGGCACATGCCCAGGTTGTGGTCTCAACCCTCACTCCCCTGTCGGGGGGGCATATGAGAGGATGTTCCTCTCTCATAGAGGTTTTTATCTCTTTATCCCTTTCCCTTCCCCTTTCTCTAAAAAATTAATAAAAACATATTGAGGAAAATATTTTTTAACATCAAGTTGACGATGAAGAAATGCAAGAAAAGTATAAATAAAATTTAAATCAACACTACAAACCACCTATATTCTCTGAAATATTGCCTAGATTACTAATCTAGTATTTTTTAAAATATATTTTTATTGATTTCAGAGAGAAAGGAATAGGGAGAAAGAGATAGAAACATCAATCATGAGAGTGAATCATAAATTGGCTGCTTCCTGCACGCCCCACACTAAGGATCAAGCCCACAACCTGGGCATATGCCCTGATCAGGAATCGAACTGTGACCTCCTGGTTCATAGGTCAACACTCAACCACTGAGCCACACTGACTGGGCCCAATCTAGTATTTTATCACAGAGAATTATCATTTAAAATTCTACCTTATTTTCTAATTTGTTTATTAGAAGTTAAAAATTTTTTTCAATATCTACACCATGCATGCAGAAGAGATGAAACGATTATTCCATTTCAATTTACAATGTCAATTTACAATGGCCCAATGTTATTTTATTCCATGCGTATAACTGCTCAGATCATTGAAAAGACTATGATAACAAATAAATGGGAAGCACCAGGGTAAAATTTTAAAGATACAAAAGTTAGAGACTATAGCTCATCAAGATGGTAAATAAATGGTAAGCAGTTAATAAATATTAAAGATGTATTTAATAAGTATTTAAATACATATTAAATGATTGCAGTATTATTTTAAAGCTTTTAAAATATTTGCCTTTCAATGTAGGAAAGCAAAACTTCAGCTTCTTTTGCCTTGCCTGGATCATCTTCCATTAGCTCTTCGATAAAGCTTTGGCTACCTATAAATATCAAAAGATCCACCAGATGATATTTAAGGTTATACATTAACCTATACTTATAAAGAGGTAATATGCAAATTAGCCAGGATGCCATAACAGTCACGACCATTCAGGAGGAGGCTGCATGTGCAGGCAAGCCATGGATGGCGCAGGCCCAGGGCCTGCCAGAAAACAGGGCCTGCCAGCCGCTGCAGTGGCAAGGAGGCCTGCAGACAACAGGGCCTGCCAGCCGCTGCAGTGGCAAGGAGGCCTGCAGACAACAGGGCCTGCCAGCCGCACCTGCAGTCCCGCCTCTGCACGTGAGCTGCAGAGGAAACACCTTTTCTAACTGCTCATTGGCTAAGCTCCCGGTACGCCACTTGCAGTGTTCTTGGTAACTTGGGTAATAAGAATCCAAGAAGGTGATCTAGGGTTTTTCCACCTCACTCCTGGAGGAAAAAAAATGAAGATCCGCTGCTGGAGGGGCTAAGAAATGTCATATCCTGCCCTAGCCGGTTTGGCTCAGTGGATGGAGCCTCGGCCTGCCAACTGCAGGGTCTGGGTTCAATTCTGGTCAAGGGCATATATCTAATGTTGCAGGCTCCTCCCTGGCTGGGGCCCAAGTCAGGGCTCGCGCAGGAGGCAACCAATTGAAGTGCCCCTCTCACATTGATGTTTCTGCAGTCTGTCCCTTTCTCTTCCACACACTCTAAAAATCAATGGAAAAATATCCTCAGGTGAGAAAAAAGAAAGAAAAAAAGAAAGAAATGTCATATTCTATGAAAGAGACATTTTGAAAATGCCTAAAGAAAGTTGTCATTTTTTTTCGTGGTGAAGGGACTGTAGTCTGTGTTGATGGAAACACCTTGCAGCTGCAGCGGCTGACTGTGGCAACAGTAGGGGGTGATGGGGGTGGAGCCCTCCCCTGATCAGCCCAGTCACCTCCTGCAGAGGGAGGCCAGACTGCAGTTCAGGCCTGCTCTCCTAAGCCATCAGTAGGACATCCCTTGAGAGCTCCCAGATTGGAGAGGATGCAGGTCAGGCTGAGAGACACCCCCCCACCCTCCATTCCCCCCCACCCCCCACTCCCCCTACCCCCGCACCGGGCCTCTAGTAGAAAATAATAAGCATGCAGATGTTTAATACCAACCACTTAATGCTATGGTTCCTAACAGAATGCCTCCCTTTAATTTTTTCTTATTTTAAGGTATTATATCTTTGGTTTACCATTTATCTGTCAGCTATTGGAGGAAGAAGCCCATAGGATAACAGAAACCTAACCGAAATAAATACATTTCCTTAAACTCTATCTAGGAAAATTCCCACTCATTAGCTTTCCGTGCATTGGGGAAAGAAGTAATGTTTTCCATTATTTGTGATACTTAAATATATCAACAAACTACCGTGTAAACCGTGGATTTCCTCAATTTGCTTCACCAAGTCTTCAAATGAGCTGCTCTCATCAGATTTTGACCATGAAGTAAGTGCATATGAAACAATCTGCAGTCTTCTATGACTATAAAGATAAAAGCATCAACAACATACTGAATCTAAAATCAAAGTGTAATGTTAGAATAAACACATATAAAAGCTTCAAACTTTAGAAATAATCCACTTGCATACCTAAACTCTAATTCTTTGTTCAGACTGTTAGCTACCTCGTGCCGTTTTACTATCACAATCATTTCCTCCTCTAAATCTGCCTTCCTCTGAAGTGGGACATATTTCTTTGACATTAGTTGTTTAATTTCTTCATATTTATCTTCCAGATGTTTCATGTATTTATTGAGAGCATCTAAATTGAAGGATTCTTCGAGAATCATGCCTATGGGAAAAGGGAACAAATCAAACCAGCCAAGCCATGGGTAGGAGTATGCAAAAAGTCAGTGAGTTCTCTATGTCAGGAAATAACTGAGAAATGGTAGCATGAACTTGTCATTTACTGAACATAAATGGAATTAACATACATTTTTTAAATGGCTAGCAGTTTTTAAACATGCCCATGAATATTCTAGAGAATGAATTCTAGATTCTGCCCAGTAATCTCTCTAACCAAATCTTCCATTAAACTATTCCTGCTAACCCCAGGATAATATTTATTCTCTCCAATGAAAAACTTATAAATGCCAGCCATATCTCAGTCCTCTCTCCCTCTCTAATTGCCCCTTCTACTAATTATTCATGCACACGACAAATGATTTCCCTTCTCATTTAGGCTAATTGTTGCCTTTAAAGGCATATCTCAAAATTCTCCTCCAGAAACCCTTTTGGATTAATCCTACTCAATTTTGATAATCACCTTACCCTAAATCCTCTAGGCATTTAATCAATTTATCTGTTATTCTGTACTTATTCATATGTATCTTATTTATGTTTTGTGAGTCATAATTTTACATTTGAAAGGAAATCTAGCCCCTGCTTCCACCTAACACAGGCTGATTGATCATTCAACCTCAGCTAAAATCCTCTGGTGTGGAATAGCTTATTATCTCATGACACAGCTTCTTCCAATGAATCCAAATCCTACTTCCTAAAATTTCCACCTATTGATTCTGCTTCTGGGTAAACACTAGTTGAAATCCATAAAAGTTTTGAATACAGTTATCTATTCTCAAAGCCATCCTGGTCCCCAGGGTGAATATTTATAATTCCTCTATATTCATCATATAAACCTCTCTGCTTCCTGAATAAATTCCAGGAGACAGATGCTACTTGCACTTCCCCAGATTCACTTGTCTTCACTTTTGTATCCTTTCATTGTTCATTCATCCAGCAAAAAATGTTTTCTGAGCACATTTGAGAAAACCTCCTGATTAAATATTAGAAAAAAAAAAAATTCAGGATACACTACAATTTCTCAAAATGTGGCTTAGCTGAAGATGAGGAGCCAGTGAATGCTGACATAAATATGAATCAACAATATTCACCAGAATTAACACACTACAGTTTTTTTCATGTATTATAACATGGGTTCTCAAACTCTAGAGTACATCAGACTAACCTGAGAACTTGTAAAACACTGGTTGGTAAGCTCTCCCTCCACCTCACCCATCCCATGTCCAGAATTCTGACAGTAAGTTGCACTGGAGTCAAAGAATTTGCATTTCTAACAGGTTTCCAGTTAAACTGATGTTGACCAGAAACCACAATTTAGGAATATCCTGTATATAGTCCAGTCAGTCTGGAACCCTTTTAGGGTTTTCTCATCCTCTTGTTTCTATCTAGAGTCCTGGCTAACGTTGTTTGTAAAGTATGGATAAAGTCCTGTTGTACTCAGAAGATATATCCATAGCACATACATATTAACTTGTGTAATAGGTAATAACTGGCAACAGTCAGAATTTCTTTCAAATATTTTACACAAAATATAGTACCTGGAATAGGTTTTGAAGGGTCTTTGGAGAAAGGAAAATGTTTTACTTCTTTCACATCATACGCTGCCCTGAGTTGTTTTATTTTGTCTATTTGCAATTGAATGCTTGAGGAATTATTTTCAATAACCTTCATTCTGGAAAACAGAAAGGCTTTCTTATGTTACTTTCAACTAACTTAATTATTTAATCATAAGATTTATAATAAAACGGGTTAAATCATTATTTTATTTTGCCTAATTGTCATTTTGAACCATTATGTATTTAGGTGGAAATTTATAAAACAGTGTCCCAGAAAAAGTTTACTAACCTCACAACGAGGAACAATTTTCTTTCAGAGCATCAATACTATGACTCATAACTTTATTGGAAGTGTATTAAGTGTTAAACATAATCTGGCCACAAAACACTGTATCTATTCCCTTTAGTTGAAAATTACCTTTGCATTGAAAATTTATTTTTCGAAGTAATTAATCCATTTCTTAGGGCTGCCATAGCAAATGACCACAAACTTGGTGGCTTAAAAAAGCAGAAATTTATTTTCTCTCCGTTCTGGAGACCAGCAAAGTCAGTGTCACTGGGCCCAAACCAGATGCTGTCGGGCCCATGCTGCCTCTAGACCGGCTCGGGAGACTCCGCTCCCCCTTTCCCAGCTGCTGGGCTGCTGCCTTGTCTCTGGCTTCATGTCCACCTTGCCTTCTCCCCTCTGTCTCTGTCAACACTGCCTCTGCCCCCTCTCCTAAAAACACTTGTGACTGACATTAGGAAACTTGTGACACTTGTAACACCCACCTGGATAATCTGAGATAAACTCCCTATTTCAAGATCTTTAATGTAATCACATCTGCAAAGACCCCTTTCCCAGGTCCTCAGGATTAGGGCCTGCTATCTTTAGGAGCTATTATTTAACCTACTGTAGTAATTCTGATCCTATAGCTGGGTGAATGAGACAAAACTGAGTTCCTCCTGCAATAGGAATCTTAAAGACCAAAAAGATATATATAAATTTCCTTCAAGCATTAGTTTAATATATATATATATATATATATATGTGTGTGTGTGTGTGTGTGTGTGTGTGTGTGTATGTATATATATGTGTGTATATATATATATAATCAGCTGCATCCTGCACAGGCCCCACTGGGTACATGCCCATGACCAGAATCAAACCTGGGACCCTTGAGTCTGCAGGCCGACATTCCACCCACTGAGCCAAACCGGCTAGGACTGAAGCTTACTTTCTAACTTATCACTGATATGTGGCCCAGGGAGAAAATAACAGACTAAAATAAATTAGATACATAAATGCCACAAGAGTTTTGGCAAATTAATAACAAGTTTGTCAGTAGATAAGGGCTGTCTGCATCTGATTATTACAGAGCTCTTGGTAACTACTGATTGCTCGGAACAATAGCTTACAGTATTTATGAAAGAGGGACTGTGGAAATAAAATTTCTTTTGGCTTTCATCCAAATATACTTATGCTTGTGAAAGAAAGCAATATTAAAATTGAACAGACTTTCTGCCCTGGCTGGTGTGGCTTAGTTGGTTAGAGCGTTATGCGTGTACCAGAAGGTGGTGGGTTTGATCCCTGGTCAGGGCACACAACCAGGTTGTGGGTTCAAACCCAAGTCAGAGCTGGGGTGGGTATGGGAAGCAACTGGTCCATGTTTCTTTCTCACATGGATGCTTGTCTCTCCTTCCCTTCTTCCTCTGAGATAAAAAAAAGAAGTCAACAGTCTTTACTTCAAGTTGGTAAAGGGGAACATGAAAACATGACTTTAAATAATTAAAAAGACTGAGAACCACTGGTTATAATTACACTAGCTAGTTAATATAACCAAGTAACAATGATCACCTCTTGGGCTATTTGCTAATATACTTACTTTGCTTTAAGTTGGGTTATTCTTTTCCTGTGATACACCAATGTTGTGGGCTCTGCTGCCAAAACTTTAAGTCTTCCATGAAGAGAAAATGCAATTCTTTGGTCTCTTTTTATTGTATCAATGATGGTATCATATTCTTTTTTGATTGAAGTAAGAATGGATTTGTATGCAGTAACATATTCTATTACCTGAAATATGATTTTTTTTCTGCCTATAGTTTTGAATTTTTTCTAGGAAACTATGGATCAAAAGCTTCGCAAATAACATTATAGATTATTTTTAAAATAAAACATGATGAGAAATTAGAAGTCTCAAATTTTACAAATATCACTGGATATTAAATTTCTTGAATATGTGCTCTTTGTAAATTATTACAGTCCTGTGAGCTTAAATATGAGAAAAAATATATTTTTCTCTACTTGGTATGAACACATACATTATATGACATTAGTTAAAACCAATACCAGGTCTAATACTGCATTCCTATTCCAAAGGTTTCAAGTAAAACTATAAGAAATCACTATCCACTCATGGTTTCTAACGGTGTGAAAGTACAGACTATCTTTGGAAGGATAGTGGAAGAAAATAGAAACAGTGGATGCCTGAAGAAAAGGAAAGGGAAAGATAACAAGCTGACCTTTGGTTGTGTACTTTTCTTTATTAGTTCCTTTATTTATTTGCTAATCTTGTGTATACAATACCCATGCAAAAACAAATAAATATTTAAAATAATTTAAAATGTATGGCTTTTCAAATTGTGCTCACGAGGATTTCAGAAGGGACCGATATGTAGAGAGAACAGAGGTGATCAATCCAAAATCTTCTCTGAAAGCCACAATAGGCTTCCTATTCCTGCCACATCTCTAGTCTCTGGCATCCCCTACTAGTTTTTTGTTAGCTAGACAATAGCTAGAAAAAATTACCCAGGAAGACATCTGGTCTCTCGAGAAATGCTACGAGGAGCTTACTGATCAATGACAAGTAGCAGGAGAGGATATCTGAGTGGGAGATACTGGGTGTCGTTTTGGCATGACTATATCAACCCAACTAGGAGGACTGCCACACAAGAACCCATAATAAAATAGACCAGCATTCTGTCTTCAAAATTAAGCACCCTGCTGTTCCTGGCCATCGTCGGCCCCACACGCCTATGGGGGTGTGCTGCAACAATCCAGGGCAGCTTGGATACATTAGTGCCGTGGTCGGCAAACTGCGGCTCGCAAGCCACGCGCGGCTCTTTGGCCCCTGGAGTGTGGCTTTTCCACAAAATACCACGGCCTGGGCGAGTCTATTTTGAAGAAGTGGCATTAGGAGAAGTTTAAGTTTAAAAAATTTGGCTCTCAAAGGAAATTTCAATCGTCGTACTGTTTATATTTGGCTCTGCTGACTAATGAGTTTGCCGACCACTGCATTAGTGGAGAGAAAACAGACTTTGTAGTGATATTACATTGATCAGCTCCCATATCTGTCTGCTAGAAGAAATAGATCAGAACACTCATAGGAATTTCTGAGAATGTATACTAGTAGACACTGCATTAAAATAAAGACAGACTGGCAGGCCACAGGTAGAATAGTTTTGCTTGACCCACAAAATATTTTAAAATTTACTAAATTTCACCTGAAAACCCTATTTTCAGCTTCTCTCAAAAACTATGAAAACTCTACATACATGGAACCACCATTCCTTAATGGCAATAAACAGGAAGAGCTTTAGACTGAATTCTTCATTTTACTAAACTCCGTGACTCCTCATTCTCTTACAGCCTCATGCTCTAGCTGGTTTTGCTCACTGGATAGAGCACTGGCCTATGGAAATGAAGGGTCCCAGGTTTGATTCCAGTCAAGGGTACATGCCCGGGTTTCAGGTTCGATACTCAGTAGGGGGAATTCTGGCAGAGCCCATCATTGATGTTTCTCTCTCTCCCTCTCTATCAATCAAAATATATTAAAAAAAATAAAGATAAAAACAGCTATTGCTAAAAATCTTGCAAAACAAAATCAAATGTTATATAAGCCACAGCATTTTCTAGCCTCATCTCCATATTTCCAATGTTCAGCTAGTCAAACCCCCTGTTTACTGTGCCTATCTACCTAGCCCTCTAATCTACAAGGGACCTCAATTTAATATGCTAGGTCAGCAATTTTCAACCGGTGTGCCACAAGAATTTTTAAAACATGCAATATCTGCCGAGACCGGTTTGGCTCAATGGATAGAGTGTCGGCTTGGGGACTGAAGGGTCCCGGGTTCGATTCCGGTCAAGAGCATGTACCTTGGTTGCGGGCATATCCCCAGTAGGGGGTGTGCAAGAGGCAGCTGATCGATGACTCTCTCTCATCGATGTTTCTAACTCTCTATCTCTCTCCCTTCTTCTCTGTACAAAATCAATAAAATATATTTAAAAAAAAACAAAACATGCAATACCTGATTATTTAGCCAGGGGCACTGACCTCTTTCCCTCAAAAGACAGCACCCAACACAATTGCCATCCAGTGTGATTAAGTCAAAATTATATACCTTTTTTGTTGTTGTTAGATCTCCAAAAAATATATTATTTGGTGTGCTGCAGAATTTTAGTAATTAGTTTATGTGTGCCATAAGTTGAAAATCGCTGTGGTAGATTAAATCTAGACCAAGACTTTAATGATACCACACCTAAACCCAAAACAAGGTTTCTGCTTACAACCCAATCCCTCAGTTAATACTTGCAGATGGAGGGGCAAGATGCTGTTAGAGGGCCCTGCTAGGTGCTGCTCAAAAACTGATAAAAATGTTAGAACTGACAGCTTGCACTCAAGCTGAGACATTCATCAACTGTCTGGTGATAAATGCAGCATTGCATTTTCTTCCTTCTCTCCTTTCTAAGAAAATAGATGAACTTTTCTAAACTGACAGACGTAAACAAGCAGTGCGGTGTTACTAAGACAGGAGTATTAGTCACCAAGAAAGACCATTTCTGCCTGGTTGAGTGTTGACCTATGAACCAGGAGGTCACAGTTTGATTCCCGATCAGGGCACATGCCTGGTTTCGGCCTGATCCCATATGAGGTGTGCAGGAGGCAGCTGATCAATGGTTCTCTCACATCACTGATGTTTCTGTCTCTTCCTTCCTCTCTAAAAGCAATACAAATATTAAAAAAAGAAAAGAAAGACCATTTCTTCCCCATGAAAATCCACTGTCTTAAAAGCATTGATACCTTATCAAAAACGTTTCGGTATATGATGTAATATTCATCAGCAGGTCCTTCCTCATTACAGCCCACTCTTTTGGTTTCTGTAATTATGTATCTTTGCATACTTTCCAAAAATTCCTTATCACATCTACTAATGATAGGAGGGATAATTGTATGTTTATTTATTCCTTGAACCGACATGGCATAATCTGCAACACTTATTCAACAGAGAAAAGTTAACTCTTGTCTTGCTTTTGCAACAAAGCCAAAACTTTTGATAGGCCTGAAAGAAAAAAAAGACCATCAGTTAATTTAAAGCTTTAAAAAGTCATATATTCATCTAAAACAAATGTAAAAAAAATGTGCCGTGGATCTGAGATATATGATTCAACCTATGAATCAGAAGGTCTAATCTATTCTGTCACGTGCTATCCCTCTGGGATAGATATACCAAACAAACACCAGTCAACAAGGGGCTCTTTCTTATTAACCAAGCATATACAGGGTATCCCCCAAAATGCACATATACTTTGAATGATTATAAAGTCAGCTTTAATTTTCAGAATTTAAAAGAATTTACAGAAATAAATAATTTTTTTGTCAACATGTTTTCAAACTGATGACCATTCTGGTCCAGGAATCACAAACATCAAGAATCATTTCCTTTGGTATTTGTGGGCCCACAATTCATTGACTGTTGCTGGTTTTGTACCATAAACCTTGTCTTTTAGGTAGCCCCATTAAAAAAAATCTAGTGGCAGAGCAGAGAAGGCAGTGAGACAGAGATGGGCACAATGGATGCCTCTCACTAGCCTGTGGGAGAGGACAGGAAAACGTCAAACATCAGGGACAACATGTAAAGGAATCACAACTAGGGCAATGTTTAAGTTATACCGTATTTGTTTATTCAACAAATATTTAGGCCCTGCCAGTGTGGCTTCGTGGTTGAGCGTCAACATATGAACCAGGAGGTCATGGTTTGATTCCAGGTCAGGGCACATGCCCGGGTTCTGGGCTTGATTGCCAGTGTGGGGCATGCAGGAGGCAGCTGATCAGTGATTCTTTCTCTCATCATTGGTGTTTCTAATCTCTCTCCTTTTCTCTGAAATCAATAAAAATATATTTAAAAATATTTAGGGGCACTTTCTGTATGTCTGCCACTATCTTAGAAGCTAGAGACATAGCATTGAACAAAACAAAGCTTTTAACCCCCCAGAAGTTATGTTCAAGGAGAGAGAGAGAACACAAAGTGAAAACATAGTATGACAAATGGGGATAAGCCAAATGGGGAAAATTGAAACTGGGAATGAGAGTAAGGGAGTGAGAGGGTGCAATTTCATATAAAGCATTAAGTTAGGAAAGAGGAAAGTCCTCACTGATAAGTGGCATTTCAGAAATCTGACAAAAGCAGGTCATGTAGATTCTGGGGTGGAAAAGAAGAGTGGTTGAGGCAGAGAGAGCAGCAAGTCCAAAGGCCTGAAGGCAGTAAGCAAGTGTGAGGAACAGCAAGAAGGCCAGTGGGGTCAGAAGAAAGTGAGAAAGGGAGAGAATAAAGAGATGAGGTCAGAGGTGTAGCAGCCAGATGAGTACAGGGCCTTGGTGGCAGGACCCCTACCTGCACATGGGCACCTTTGTGCACCTTAGAAAGAGGTGCCCTTTCTTGTGACAGATCTGGCAAGAGGATTGGAGGCTCCAGTCGCCCCAGTGCTGGAGCAACAGCCTCACTTATAGGAATTTAGGCTTAACTCTGAGGGAGATGGGAAGCCACTGGAGGACTGTGGGCAAGAGTGACAGATGGCCTACACATTTTCAAAGAGCTGCTCTTGCTGCTTTACGAAGAAAAGGGCTAAAGCCTGAAGAACTGTCAGGAGGCTACTGCAATAACCTGGGCGGGGGTAGCAGTGGCCGGCATCAGAACGGTAACGGTGGCGGTGGAGAGACGCGTTCTGCATATATAGTAGTATGTAAAAGCAAAGCCGAGAGGACTTGCTGAGGGGATTAGATGGCGGTAGGAGAGAGCAGTCAAAGATGGCCATAAAGTTTCTGGCCTTACAGATTAGAAAGATGGGAACTGCCATTTATGCATATGGGAAGAGCAGTTTCATGAGATCAGGAGTCTGGGGCTTGCCTATTGGAGATGTTGAATTATAATAAACAGCAGGCTATGTGAAGCTGGAGTTCAGGTGAGTAATCAAAATGAAAGGTAAGTTTATAAGCCATTTGCATAATAAATGGTATTTAAAAGTTATGAGACGGGCCGAAACCGCTTTGGCTCAGTGGATGGAGCGCCGGCCTGTGGACTGAAGGGTCCCAGGTTCGATTCCGGTCAAGGGCATGTACCCTGGTTGCGGGCACAAACCCAGTAGGAAGTGTGCAAGAGGCAGCTGATCGATGATTCTCTCTCATCAATGTTTCTAACTCTCTGTCCCTCTCTCTTCCTCTCTGAAAAAAAAATCAATAAAATATGTATTTTTTTTTTTTAAAGTTATGAGACGGAATGAAAATGACCTGGGAAATGTAAACAAAGCAGAGGTCTAAGGACTAGTGCTGGGGGAGATACTCCAAAGTTTAGAGGTCTGGTAGTTCTGGAGGAAGCAGCAAAAGAGCCGATAAAGGTGTCCATTGGAAGTCAGAGGAAGAAAGTGTTCCAAAGGAGAGAGTGATCAGCTTTGTCAAATGCTGCTGACAGGTCATATAAGATTAACTGACCACTGACTTTCACAACAAGTTAAAGGTGACTAGTGACCACAAAAGCTATTCCAGTAGAAGGGGGGTACAAAAACCTAGAACAGATACAAAGGGGAAGGTTTGGAGACAATGAGTGTAGACATCTCTTTCAAGGAGTTCTGCTGTAAAGGTGAAGACTAGTTGGAAGAACATGGGACAAAGAAAGTTCGAGGAAGGAGTGGATTCTTCCTGAGTGCCAAAGCATGAGGGAGCACACGTCAGGAACTTCCATTAGCTCAACAGAATAAAGCAAGCAGTGGGTTTGGCAGATTAGGATGTAAGGGAGCCCAAGGCCAAATACTATAGTAAGGGATTTGGATTTCCTTATGAAGGTGAAATAGAATAATGACCTACTTTTTAGAAGATTTGGAGACAAAAGTGAAGGTGGGTTAGAAAAGGAGAAAGACTAAAGGCAGCTTAGAAGCTAGCACTGAAAACTTCCAGGAGAAAATCAGGGAGGGCTCGAGTCTGGGGGTGGGATAGAGAGGAGAAGGCAGAGAGACACGGATGGATGGCATCAGGAGGGGACACTGGACTGATCCCGGGGTTTGTGTAGCGGGAGAAGGCAATGTGAGCACCGACTCCCTGCTAACTCACAGCCCGGCCAGGGGCGTCCCACACTCCCTCCCAAGTCTTCCTCCTGGGATCTTCGCCAACCTACACATTTGGAAATTCTACAACTAAATAGCCATCCTGCAGATTTCTTTCCCGTATGGCTTCATTTTAACATTTGAAAAATGGGCCTGAGCTGAAACCGGTTTGGCTCAGTGGATAAAGCGTCGGCCTGCAGACTGAAAGGTTCCAGGTCCCAGGTTCGATTCCGGTCCAGGGCATGTACCTTGGTTGCAGGCACATCCCCAGTAAGGGGCGTGCAAGAGGCAGCTGATCGATGACTCTCTCTCATCGATGTTTCTAACTCTCTACTCTGTATCTCTCTCCCTTCCTCTCTGTAAAAAACCAATAAAATATATTTAAAAAGAAAAATGGGCCTGAGATTTGTAACATATCAAAGAGTCTCACACGACAAACCAGGCTCAGAACTTTGTTTCCACCAGCGGAGACTTGGGGGCTGAAGGCGGAGGGGACGACAGGGCAAAAAGGAAAAGCAAGGATGAACCCGAGCTTTCGGAGATATAACCTATTTTTCAGTTTGCCTGGAGTGGGCCAAGGAACTCCTTCCCTTGCAGGCCCAGGGAGCAGCCGGTGGGAGACGGCCTGGTCCTCAGCTCCTAACCGCCAGTGAATAGGTGAGCAATACCTCCGTCCCCCTGTCTCCCGCCCTTTCCTCCAAGTCATTTCCGACCCGTTTCCTCCTTCCCTGAGAGCATTACTTCGCTAAGCCCTTCCTCCCTCCTCACCTTAATCTCTTTCTCCAAAAACCCCAACTCCGCTGCTCGGGGTTAGTTACTACGGGAACCTTAGGCGTGTGGCACTGCATCTTGGGACAAGTAGTCTTCAGCCCCCAAAGAAAGCAGTGGAAACTACAACTCCCAGAAGGCACGTCCGTTTCCTCCTCATCCTCAATAAGGCCCCCCCCTTAACCCCCACTCCCTTTTTAAGACCCTCTTAGCCACGTTCCCCTCTATGAGAAAAGCCTTTTAAAGACATTTAAAGTTGTTTAAACCTACTATCTCTAGAGCATCCTGGAGGTTAAAGTGAGCAATAAGCCCGGCTTTAGAACGAGGGGAAATGAGGTTCACGAGCTAAGTCTGGCATGTGGTTAGACAGCCGCGGGGAATAGCAGTCAGGCATTCGGTGTGGCCACCTAAGAGGCGGAGCCTGAGGCGGCGGCGGCCCCAGGAAGCGTGTGGGCCTGCGCCGCGTTCTTCCTTTCCGATCCGCCATCTGCGGTGAGTGTGTGCTCCTCGTCCGCTCCCCGGCCGGCGGCCTACCGGCCTTCCCCTCCCCGCGTCCCCGGGTGTAACCGGTCTCTTCCTTCTCCCCCGCCGCAGGTGGAGTCGCCGCCAAGATGCAGATCTTCGTGAAAACCCTCACGGGGAAGACCATCACTCTCGAGGTGCGGGCCCGGTGGCGGGAGGGAGCCGAGGCCTGGGGTGTCGGGCCGGCGCTGCTTTCTGCTGAGAGCGTGTTCCCGGGTCTGGGTTGTGCAACCTGACCCTGAATGGAGACCTGTTTGCCGAGCTCGGCCGGGGTCCGAGCAGCAGCTTCTGCACGTGTCAAGGCTCGGCCCTCATCCCGGTGGTGCCGGCTCGACGACCCAGGCGGGGGCCCCCTAATAGGCGGGAGGCGCTCCGGCCGGACGGCCCAGCACGTGGGGGACCGGGGCTGAGGAAGTGCTCGCGTAGGCGAGCCGGGGAGGAGGCCTGTCCACGGGGTGAGGGGCCAGCTCCTTTGGGGAGGCGACCGACAGCCACCCCACCCCGCTCGGTGCACTCCAATTGAGCATTCCTTTTCTTACTGTCTTACCAGTACCTCTTTGCATTTTTAAAACTCTTAGGTTGAACCCTCGGATACGATAGAAAATGTAAAGGCCAAGATCCAGGATAAGGAAGGCAAGTGGTGTTTTTCTAGTTCAGAAATAGTAACCTCCGGAGGCCCCAGCCGACCTGCAGGCTCCCTGCAGACGTGCGCTGGGTGGGGTGGGTGGGCAGAGGTCAGGCTGATCAGTGAAATATTTTGAAATAACACACGGTAGACACAGGTTTTTGAGCGCGGAACCAAGCTGCAGTGCATTCTACTTACTATGAATTTGGGCGAGCTGTTTAATTATTTACACCCCATCTGCAAAATGAAGTTTGTGTTAGCATGTCCATATTAAGTACACCCCATCTGCAAAATGAAGTTTGTGTTAGCATGTCCATATTAAGTACCTACTGTTAACGGTTACGTGAGGTAAAAATCAGTAAACCTTTAAAACCACGCATGCATAGGCTGTAGTGAGAACTCGGAAGGCTGCTAGTGCCATTTGATCTAGGATTATTGTTTTGTAAGTCTTCAGCTGAGGCTTGTTCTGCTGTGGCCTAATTTGTTGGTTTTCTTCATTAGGAATTCCTCCTGATCAGCAAAGACTGATCTTTGCTGGTAAGCAACTGGAAGACGGGCGTACTTTGTCTGACTACAACATTCAAAAGGTCTGTTGAAAAGAGCGGCCCTGTATAAATTTCAAAGTTTCTGACAAGTACCTAATGCTAAGGCTAGCTTCAGATGATTCAGATTTCCTAGGTGACGCCTACATTAACATTGGAGAAGTGCTGCTCCAGTTCTCGCATTCTGGGTTTGGCAGGTTGTGTCCTATGGTGTGATTTAGTTCTTTAATCTCCCTGTGCACTAGCTAAGAACAGAGACTCTCTGCTGTGGTGTTGAGTGCTTCCTATTGCATCTAATTAGAAGATGGGTGATGCTAGCTTTCTGTTGGTAGTGGAGCCTGAGCATTAATGGAATTGTTTTTAAAGCTTGTTGCACGCTGCCTCATTAACAGGAGTCCACGCTTCATCTTGTGCTGAGACTCCGTGGTGGTGCCAAGAAGAGGAAGAAGAAGTCTTACACCACTCCCAAGAAGAACAAGCATAAGAGAAAGAAGGTTAAGCTGGCTGTCCTGAAATACTACAAAGTGAGCCAACTTAAAACCTTTTTGCCTATAGGTTAAAAAATTGTGTTCATATCGCTGATTTCAAACTTCTAATATAAAATTTCTTTTCCTGTTAATACTTGAACTTTAGATGATGGGGATTATCTTTAGCTGCTTGTTCTCAACAAGGGTTTTGATTTTGAAGTCAGGTCTGGGTACAAGTCTAGCTTAGTCTACCACTTGCAGGGTTTGACTTGAATGAGCTCTGAACTTGTTCTTGTTCGATGTAGTAAATACTGGTGAGGGTTTGAGATGCTTTGGGTTTGTAAATACTAAAAACTGCCATTGTGTGATTAAAAGGTAACAGCAGGCTTGTACTTTTTAGGTGGATGAGAATGGCAAAATCAGTCGCCTTCGCCGAGAGTGCCCTTCCGATGAATGTGGTGCTGGAGTTTTCATGGCCAGCCACTTTGACAGACATTATTGTGGCAAATGCTGTCTGACCTATTGCTTCAACAAACCAGAAGACAAGTAATTGTATTTGGGTTAATAAAAGACATGAACTGACATTTGATTGTTGAATTTTTTTAAGTGTCAAAGTTGATGGATCAAATTGATAAGCTATACTTGGGCAGAATTTTATTATATTTAATATCAGCTGTCTAGATGATAAACCAGTTGTGTTTTTCTTTTTTACCTCAGTACTATGACCAGATAATCTGGGGGTGGAGGGAGTGGGGGGCTGCCTTGTGCATCTCTGGCTCCAATCCATTTGATGCCAGTAACTCTCCACCCCCATTACCACAGCTGAGTGTATGCAGGCATTGCCGCGGAACCCCTGGGTGAGTGAGAACCACCTCCCTTCCCCAACTGAGAAACACCAATTAGTTGGTGTTAAAACACTGCCTAAAAAGAGGCTTTGATAGGTTTCATACACGGGACATTTAAAAGGCTGAGCTGCAAATTGACAATTCAGAAATTCATCCCGAGTTCCTAGGTGGTTTGGCTGGGATGTTTGCTGTCTGCAGAGAACTAGGGAATACACTACTGTTCGTTGGGCATGAACTCGAAATAAAACTGCTCATTAGTCCAGTTCGCACTGAGTGAAAGATAAGAGGGCCGGAGACCAGGAGATTTCAAGCAGTATTTGATTGGTACCATATCTTGTCCTTGGAGCTCAATTCAGAGAGGATTGTTTTGGTCCCACTCTTAAGTAAAATCATTTGAAATTAGTTACCTTCAGTGAAATTCCAGTAATTCCCTTTTACTGTATTAATACCAGAATTTCTAGTTTGAGACATCTTAAGTTTTCCTATTTTGACAGAATTGCTTGGGCACTTACCAACAGTAGTGAATTCTGTTGAATAAAGCAAAACAAGTTCTTTTAAAAATATTTAATCTATATTTTTAATACATTTTTAAAATCCTGGGTCCCAAGAGGTCTTTGCTGGAACTTCATTTTCTTCATAACAAACAATTGTATCTCCCACTTTAAATTCTATCATTTCTTCATCCAAACTGAGACCACAATCCATTCCAGTTTTGATGACTGAAACGTCATCTTTGTGGTGTTTCAGGGAAGTTAATGAACCTTTAAAAAAATAAAAACAGTTCATACATTCAACAATAGGCACTTGACTAGGTGCTATGTAGTCTGGTGTTAGGACTTGAGTGAGATGAACCAGGATAAAAGATTGCAGGCACAATCAATAAAGAACAGGAGCAAGCCAATCTGATGCAGTGTGGAGGAAACATGCCTAGAAAAATCAGTCTTTAAAAGTTTGAAAAATCAGGCGGGACTAACAATCTTGGAATCAGACCCAATGAGAGGAAATCTAGCAACAAAGGAAAGATTTCAGGCAGTTACAGAGAATTGTAAGGTTTTGGTGACTGGATATGATATCAAAACATTTTGATGTTGCTTACCCTTCCAAATAATACCTCCGTTACGGATTAACTTAAATTTTTTTTGCTTTTCTAGCTGTCCTTTTTGGACTCTGCAGCCAGCCACAGGAATTTTTTTCTTCCCTTCTGTTATGGAAAAGGTAGCTAGTATAGAAGCCTCACCTTTAGGAAGAAGAGAACATTATAGAAAGTAAAAGATTTAGACAAATACATAATTTCTAACATTTTGTAAGGTAGGAAAGGTGATAAAAATACAAACACATGTAAAGAAATCCTGGTTTTCTTTGACTCCACCAACTTTATTTTCCTGACCAATATTAGAAATAAAACCCAGAAAATTCTTTGGGAAGAAAATACAAAAATACAAGTGTTTACCAAAAGAGTGAATAAAAGAAAACTGATGTGTTTGGGGTTTTTTTTGTTGTTTTTTTTTGGCTGAGTAAAATGCACAACAAAGTGATAACTGGTAAGATTATTTAGTACAATTCCTGTCTAGAGCTTCATGAAAACGTAGTTTTCAGCTGTCCCTCGGTAAATTTTCTAGTCTTTATCATCTAGATCACCTGATTTATTTTTAATATCATCACTGTTCACTTATGTACTGATTCTATGATCCAGCTTAACTTTTTCATGAACTGAAAACTAAATTCCAATAATGGCATGGTACCATACATTATAACATATGAATTAATTTCTTAGTGTTATTTGGTGCTTACTGCTGGGAACTCTCATAACTTGGCTTTACAAACTGCTCTTAGCACAAGAACATACAAACCTTTGTATGATCATGTTTAATTGGTGAACTGTGTAAAGGGTATATTGGAGAGAGCTCCCTAAACTTTTTTTTTTTTTTTTCACAGAGAGGAAGGGTGAGGGATAGACAGAAACGTCAATAAGAGAGAGACATCGATCAGCTGCCTCCTGCACAATCCCTACTAGGGATGTGCTCGCAACCAAGGTACATGCCCTTGACCGGAATCGAACCCGGGACCCTTCAGTCTGCAGGCCGATGCTCTATCCACTGAGCCAAACTGGTTTGGGCAAG